TTTCTTCATACTGTCGGATCTATATCCATATATTTGCTTGCATATATATATATATATATATATATATATATATATATATATATATATATATATATATATATAAAAAAAATAAAATCCCAAATCAATTTTTACTTTTTATTTTTCGTTTATTAATTATTTGCAAATAATGGATAGGTTTTAATATTTTATATTTCTAGAATCCACTATAATATATACTAAATGATTTACCTTAAATATATATATATATATGTATGTATGTATAGTTAGATTGATGTATATGTATATGGCGATCACAAATAGCTTGAAACCCCGGATCACAAACTCACATAAATCCAACTAAATATGTTAGCTCTATCACTGATGTTGAGCGCTTTCTATTAAGTACCTCGCATATATATTATATAAATAATATATATATAAAAATTGCATATATATATATATATATATATATATATATATATATATAGATAGATAGATAGATAGATAGATAGATAGATAGATTCTCACGTGGAATGTATCATTAGAATAAAAAGATACAAAAGGAAAAACTATACTTAGCCGACGTTTTCTTGATAAATTCCTTCAGTGGACGGAAACATGTCGGCGGCAGAGAATAGTTTTCAGTTGTGTCTTTTTATTCATATATATATATATATATATATATATATATATATATATATATATATATATATATATATGTATGTGTGTGTGTGTGTGTGTGTGTGGGTGGTTGGTTGTGGTTGTGGGTGTGTCTGCGCGTGCGTGTGTGTGTGGGAAAAAGACATCGCCGAAGAATTGGGAAATAAATTTATTTCGACGGTTAACTTTTTAATATCTGTCTCATCTGACCGCAATCACAAAATATTTTTTATCTATCCAGAAAAGATATCAAAAAATTATTTTAAGATTAAATCATAAGAGAACAGGAAGTAAATGACTAAATTGCTTAACCTATAAAATTCTTTTTCCTCGGGATTTATATTATTGTAGAGAGGAGTGTGGGGAAAAATGGAGAAGCAAGTTTTCAGAACAATGAGCAGCGGTAGGTGGGATAAGTAACAACTAGTGAAATACATTTAAATTAAATCAATATATATATATATATATATATATATGTGTGTGTGTGTGTGTGTGTGTGTGTGTGTGAGTGGGTGTTTGTGTATCTGTCTGTTTGTGTGTGTATGTGTGTGTATCTATCTATATCTATCTATCTATCTATCTATATATATATATATATATATGAAGAAATACAGTTATAAGGTGTGCTATATTTATGTGATAATGTGCTCGATATCAGAGAGAGAGCGTATGTAAATATAAAAGTGAACACCTGTCGCCTGACAATTGTGTCTAGCATAAAACAGCCTATCGCCTCTGAGTGTTGACTTCAATGTTCCTTTATATATATATATATATATATATATATATATATATATATATATATATATATATATATATATATATATATGTATTAGTTCTTCTTCACAAGTCATCGTGACTGAGGGTTTGAGCGTGCTGGCCTTGTTTAAAACTTTGAGCACGCATCGTTGTGGTGAGTAAATAGATAAGGTGCTGTAAGGTTGGATGTGCGGGTGGTGTAATGGGTAATGGCCTTGAATTTTTAATCGTGGATCCGAGTTCTAATTTCCGTTTGATTCGTCATATTCAATTACCCGCAAATACTCGTGGGAAAGGTTTGAATCAACTTTTCTCTTAGCTATGGGGGCTAATTAGGTAAGACTTGTAAGATTAAAAACTGTATTATCCCTGTACAAAATAAAGTAAAATTGCGTGCAAAATCTTTATACTTCGGCATTAAACGACCCATGGATGTTTCGATGTCGCTAAATAAAAAAATCAAAAATAAAATCAGCCAACCAAATCTATCTTAAGTGACTCTTAAGCATGACAAAATAAAACCAAGATTATCAATTTTAATGAATAACGTGTCAAAAAAAAAGGAATTGCCTAATGTAAGCTTTATTCATCCCAGTCAGTACTTAACCATGCAGAGGTTTATTTATTCTCATTCCTTGTTCAAAGCATTTCAGCAAGCAACTGTTCAAATAGAAGTTTCAAACAGATAAATATGCAAGAGTATATGCTGTGTCAAAAAAGGTGAATTTTTTGAGAAAGACCAGCTGATTTTTCCTTATGTGCATTCTCGTAAAAAAAAAATCGATTCAAGTAGTTTTAGGCAAAATGCCGTAAAGCAATCTATGAAACCGTTGCTTCTCTAACAGCTGGCCAGAATTCTAAAGTAAACAGAGTCGAACTTAGACGTCTCCTGTTCACATTTCATTGTCTTACGTACAGGATAATGTCAAAGGAGGTATTGATTTACTTACACATTTCAGACGATCAACATAATTTCTTTCGTCTGAGTATTTAAATTTTTCAAATAATGATCATGATAACAAACAGACACTTAACGCCTCACAAAACACGTAGTCCAGTAATTTATCGGAGTCTGATTGTTATATTTCTATCATAAATAACTCCTGATAAACACTAGAGCACATTCGGGAGTGCTTCATTTTCCAGATGTTTTCGTATATTGGAATACAGGCTATTTAATTTGAATATAGGATTTATAAAATGGAGCAGCTTGGGAACGGAATCCATGCTTATACATATATCACAACACATAAATAACATATACCCCGAATTTAGTTTTATAAAAATAACTAGCAGCCTGTGCTTGATTAAAAAATCGTACGACTCATACAGCAATCGCTATCACTTGATTTAAAATATTTTTGCCCTTCCTTGCCTTTAAAGGAGTGCCCTTTGCCGTGCTGATGTTGCTACATGCCTTACTTCTTGCCTATCTCACACTGCGAATTTTTTCTAAGCTCTATACTAAACATTAAATCTGTTAGGAAAAAAGAACTAAACAAAATGAACACAAAACGATCAGCTTTAAAAAAGGACTCGTAACTGGAAAAACAGAATGAAAAAAGAATGTTAACAACAAATACTTTTTCACACCCAACCCAGTTCTGCGGAATCAGAATCAACGTTGAGTTTAAGCAAGCGAATGAGCCAAATGGAGTAAAGTGCCATGCAGATTTAAATTTTTCCCACTTGTAACGAATGCAGCTATCGATTTTTTTTTCATGCTGGCATGCTAGTTAACATTCGTGTCAGTTAGCTGTTGGCTCTCACGCAGGCCAATAGAATCTTCCTACCTATTGGCTCTCATTCTGGCCAGTACAAAATGGCCGCAAACTACATGAAAACTGCCGTAGAAGCATGAAAAAATCGATTATTTCCACTATCGATGGGAGTTGGGAAATGCAAAGTCGGTCTTGGCCTTCCCGCTAATTTGGAGCATGTGCATGTCAATTTTGGTGCAAATCCGTTGAAAATTGCGGCCGTGCATTCGTTAAACACACACACAGACACACACAGACACACACATCCTGCCTTTTATAGATAGAGATTTGATAAATTTTGTACACCTACAGATACATGGAATGATACTATTTATATAATGCTTATATAGATTTTTAAATTGTGAAATTAAGTTTACACGTAAGAATAATGATTTTTACTTTCTGTGTGTGTACAAAAGAAAAAAAAACCAAAAAACATGATTATTACTTACAAAAAAAATATCTACATGCAACACCAAACACTACTTCTAGAACAGGTGCGAGAAACCGGAGGAGGAGGGTACATCATCGATGACGTCACTATGAGTGTGAGACGGAAAATTTGGTAAGCTGTCAGTCACTACCAAAGATGTTGCATTTTGATAAAAGTGTTACAATGCATACAGCTACACGATATGTATAAAAAAAACATTACATGGATTCTGATTATAGTTAAATGTAAAGAAAACTGAAATAAAAACAGCTTTTTATTTGTCACGTTGCAACACAATAATCATGCTGAGGGCAGCCATGTTGCTTTTTGAAATTTTCCGTTTGTTGCAAGTCATATCAACACTTGAAAAACTTTCAGATTTTGGAGGGTTTCGGATTTGGGAATTTCGAATAAAAGGATCCACAACTTGTACTTAATCTGATTGTTTTTTTGTTTTTTTTAGCGGCATGTCAATGTCGAAAATCTAAATATTGTGTAAACAATTTTATCATCATTAATTATTCAGTTAGAGCATTTTGGCCTGCTGTATTCATCACTTACCTTCCATCTCACAGCTGTGGGTCATAGCGAAGTTCTGAGTAATGCTATGGTTTGCTGGTTCCATTTGCATCAGGGATATTAAGGTTATCCCGTTCCTCAGGAGTTAGGCAGGCCTACAAAATAGCATGTGGTTTGAATTCAAAGTTTTCCATCTCCTAGAAAAGAACACTGAGCTGTTACGTGACAGCCGTCCTCCTTTGGACAATTTCCTCAAAGATGAAGAAGAGGCCCGAGGCAACGGAGATGTGGTTCTACAGAAGGATGCTAAGGATATCATGGAACGAGCGTGTGAGCTACGATGAGGTCTTAGAGAGGTTGCAAACAAGGAGGATGCTTATACTTAATATCAGCTGAAGTTTTTGGGACACATAATGAGGAAGGAGGGTCTGGAGAATCTAATACTCACGGGTCTAATAGAAGGAAAGTGTGACAAGAGAAAACAATGCGTGATATACCGGGCGGGCTTAAGTAAGTGGATGACAGAACGTGGTCTAGGGGATGAAGCAGAGGGAAGGAACTTGTTAAGACTTGCAAGGAATAGAGAGAAGTGGAGAGCCATGGTCCCCTACGTCCTGAAAAGACACGACATATAAAGAAGAAGAAGAAGAAGAAGAAGAAGAAGAAGAAGAAGAAGAAGATATGCCCACCAAGTGCCACTCTATCCCGCTATTGTAACCATAGCTGGGGGAAGAGATGGATATGTTGTTAATGAAATCAATAAAGTGACGTGTGGTGGATCTGACCAACTTGAAGTCAGAAAGATAACTTTTTTCAAATCTATTTCACTCACTTCGTGTGTATGCATGTATGTATGTATCTATCTATGTACATAATTAACTATCTCTTAGTCTGTTAATATCTATCTATCTATCTATCTATCTATCTATCTATCTATTTATGTTCATATCTATCTATCTATTTATGTTCATATCTATCTATCTCTTGGTCTGTTAATATCTATCTATCTATCTATCTATCTATATATCTATGTCTTCATCTGTTAATATCTATCTATCTATCTATCTATCTATCTATCTATCTATCTATCTCTTCGTCTGTTAATATCTATCTCTATTCGAATCTATCTATCTATCTATTTAAATAATTATCTATCTATTAGTCTGTTAATATCTATCTATCTATCTATCTATCTTTTGTTATGTTAATATCTATCTATCTATCTATCTATCTATCTATCTATCTGTCTATGTCTTCGTCTGTTAATATCTATCTATCTATCTATCTATCTATCTCTTCGTCTGTTAATATATATCTCTGTTCGAATCTATCTGTCTATCTATCTATCTATCTATGTACATAATTATCTATCTATTAGTCTGCTAATATCTATCTATCTATTTATGTTCATATCTATCTATCTATGTATCTATCTATCTCTTGGTCTGTTAATATCTATCTATCTATTTATCTATCTATCTATGTCTTCGTCTGTTAATATCTATCTATCTTCTCTTCGTCTGTTAATATCTATCTCTATTCGAATCTATCTATCTATCTATCTATCTATTTAAATAATTATCTGTCTATTAGTCTGGTAATATCTATCTATCTATTTATGTTCATATCTATCTATCTATCTATCTATCTATCTATCTATCTATCTTTTGTTCTGTTAATATCTATCTATCTATCTATCTATCTATCTATCTATCTATCTATTTATCTATGTGCATAATTATCTATCTATTAGTCTGTTAATATTCATCTATCTATCTATCTATCTATCTATCTATCTATCTATCTATGTGTCTGTGATGTTTTCTGTTTTTACATCTTGCTTCGAAGAGTTTGTGAAATGTGTTTTGGCTGCAAGAGAAATTGATAAGACGCTTACAGCTGCGTACATGCTATCAAATTCACCAGGTCGACCAATTTAATGCTCGATTAATATGACCACGTATCAGCCAATACGATGTTCATAAATAGCTATGTGTTATTACAATTGGTTTCATCAATAGGATACACATTGTTGTGAAATGCATAGTAAAGTGTTGAGATCTTAATGAACGGCCAGCTGGAATAACCTTGTTCCGGATAAGGGAAATTTAAATTGCGGTGTACATGCTCGCACTAAATTACGCTGGGTGCGATAAAGAGCAATGCATTTCTTTGTCGTTTGATTTTTTTTGATTGCGGGGGAATCTTGAACATCCAAAAAATGTAGTTTTATCAAAAACTCGGTATCTGAAGCAAAATAATGAGAAAAAAGTTTTTATATTATAAACTTTTTTCTGAATCTCTGTAAAAGGAAAAAAAAAAAACGATTTGCGACTATGTACGAGATTTTATACGAGATTTAATACGAGATTTTATACGAGATTTTATACGAGAAGACATTTATCTCATCTCTCATATTCTTAAATCGACCGAATATTCCACAGGGTCGGCTTGTTTGATTTTGTTTAGCTGCATATCAAAACATATGGGTTATTTAATGCCGAAATAAAAAAAATTCAAACTTTATAATTAATTTCATGATAAAATAATTATTACTTAGCTGTATTTTTTTTTTACTAAATAACCTTACAAAATCAAACGAGAAGTGAAAATTAGTTTTTCCTTCCAATAAATTCAATTAATCATAGCAAATTGTTTTTTTTTTTTTAATTTTCTTCCATTTTTATTATAAACATTGATTTTTTGTTAATGTTGTGGATTCCGGGATGAAATCCAGTCTCAAATGAATGACAAAAGCAGAAATATAAATATAGCAAATAAATGTATTGACGTAATAATACAATTGGTAATACGGTTAGTAGATCCAGAAATGCGGTTAGTAGCAATAATATATATATATATATATATATATATATATATATATATATATATATAGCCTGGGAAATTCAGTATCGAAGTATGACTTCCTTCTGAATCTACGTGCTCGCAACTGTGACTCCTACAAAGCGGTTAGCTCACTCTCTCACTGTATCACTGTATCTCTCGTCTAACTCCCGACTCCCGGGTATTCACCGGCAGCAGTACAAATACACACTAGGCGAGTCCACTTGTATGAAAAAGGCATGGACCCCTTAACAGTTAATTTCACTACAAAAAAAATCTTGATAATTGTTATAAAAATGCATTGCTAGTAATTTTTATTATAAAAAAATATTTTTATACTTTCCTAATATCTTGATTTTTGTTTGGATGTTCATTATTTGCCCATAATTCGGGCCCTAACAGATACGACCCACTCTGGTGATGATGGATCTGGGAATAATAGCCATCAAGATGTGGTTCAACGCTCTTCAAACATCCAATCTCGCTATCAGATGCCTTGCTACCAGATGTAGTTTATCGTCCTGCCCAGGACTAATACTCTCTCATGAATCCAATAGACATAAAATCAGTCAGTTATGTGCCATGCGTGATACACGCTTGGGCGATCATATATCTTTCGATACATGACTGACGAGGCAAACTTTTTTACCCGCAGTAGGTTACCATTTCTTTCTGCGGCCGACCAGTTGCCATCCTTCCTGTTCAGCTATTTACCTATCGCTGGGGTGGGGGGAAGAGGATTCAGCCTTTCCCCAAGGGTATTAGCACATAAGTGAATGTAATGGATTCAACTAGAATTCGAACTAGGCTCTCCGATTTAATTACTTCTACTAATTTCAGTTTTATAGACAACACATTCTTGTTGACATTTGCCCTTGAGTGGGCAGGTGTTTTTATTCCTACAGTTACATTTAGCGGGGTTAATGTCTGATTTGGTTATGATTTTTTTCCTATTCAATTTAGGAATTAAACTAGCCATATTTGGCATACAGCTTTAGCCGAGTTTAATGTAATTTATATTGAAAATTTTGTTCGTTATGTTGGACGGGAAGAAATTCTTTTCTAATAATTAAAACATATTTTTCTTATTTTGGTTTTAACGGCTAGATTATATGGAGGGTTAAACAATAAAATATTCCTAGCCCTAAATTAATCTAAAACTAATACCGTTGGGGATTTGTTATAAAACATGCATCAGGTAGTTGGAACCTACCTTTGATGGAAATAGGGTGCTGATTATTTTTCTACCATTTTCTCGGATACCAATTTCTTTGAAAATTGTGCTATCCAGTTTTTAGACTATTTACCAATTCTTCGAATGTTAGTATTTTTAATCATCATAGAGTATGAATAAGCCTTAGAAATTAGTGGGCTCAAAATTAAATTGAGATATTTTCCTCTTAGTAAACAAAAGAAAATGAAGAATAGGGCTAGGAATATTTTATTGTTTAACCCTCCATATAATCTAGCCGTTAAAACCAAAATAAGAAAAATATGTTTTAATTATTAGAAAAGAGTTTCTTCCCGTCCAACATAACGAACAAAATTTTCAATATAAATTACATTAAACTCGGCTAAAGCTGTATGCCAAATATGGCTAGTTTAATTCCTAAATTGAATAGGAAAAAAATCATAACCAAATCAGACATTAACCCCGCTAAATGTAACTGTAGGAATAAAGACACCTGCCCATTCAAGGGCAAGTGTCAACAAGAATGTGTCGTCTATAAAATTGAATTTAGTAGAAGTAATTAAATCACCCATAACGAGAATAAAATGTGAACATAGGCTCCATTGAAGACAATTTTAAAAAGCGATACTGTAGTCATATAAATCATATAAGTAGCTTCAAGAATGAGAAGTATAGATATAAAACTAACTTATCTAAAAACGTTTGAAGTATTAAACAAGAAGATAGAACGGATCCCATTCTAAAATATTAATATAATATTAAAATAATGTTGCACATATAAAGCCTGCAACAAGTGCTGTATATTATGTATGGAGGAAGAAGTTAGCAATAGATACCTTCGATAAACCAAAAATGAACCAGAGATTAGAAATCCTTAATAGATGCAGGTATACGAAAGCCTGGTTATTAGAATAAAGTTTTATTCCTTTTTTTTTTTTTAGTCACATATTTTATGACTTTTTAGGCTTATGCTAATTTTAGGTTTTACCTGTAATTTTATCAATACATTTGTTACTCGTTAATTCCTTCTTGGCCAGTACACCTCATGATCCCATGTGGTAAAAACCTAAGTAGTTAGTACCTGATTAATTAGGAATATATATATATATATATATATATATATATATATATATATATATATATATATATATATATAGAAAATAAATATTCGTACACTTGAAAAATTGTATTTTTACAAATGTAAAGCCTTAAATAAAACGAATCTCGGCACATTTTATGTATAAAGACACATACTATTAAAACAATAATAATAAACTTAATTAAATTCTTATTCTAACAGAAATTAATGCATTTTTTTAAATTATAACTGGTGAAAAAAAGTATTCGTACAAATCAATTATTAGAAAAAAATAATCAATTAATTATGAAAAATGTATTTTCTAGAATGTTCCAGTCATGTTATCAGTAATTATAGTTAACGCTATTAGCCATTATCAGAGCATTCTGCAATTTCTTGTCTTACGAGAAGGTTCTAATAATGCCTAAAGGTAAAGAATTGCCTATTTCACAAAAACAACACATTTTGTCTCTTTGGAAAGATGGGAACAGTTACAGAACGATTTCTAACAACCTGAATATTCCTTTTACTACAATTGCTTCGTTCATTACAAGGTTTAAAACTCGTAACAGCGTCGAAAACCAAAGACGAACAGGTGCTCCGAGGAAGATTTCTCTAAGATCAGCAAGGATATTAGGACGCCAGATCCAACAAAATCCACAGGTTACCCGAGAAGAGCTGCAGGAACATCTGCGTGCATTAGGGATTAAAGTAAACAAGCGTACAATAAGTAATGAACTACACAAAAACGGTATGAAATCACGCATCCCAAGGAAGACTCCACTCCTTTTGAAACGACACAGAGACGCTAGACTAAAATTCGTTAGAGAGCATAAGGATAAAGAATATTCATTTTGAGAAAAGTACTATGGACAGATGAAACTAAAATAGAGTTGTTTAGTCATAATTATCGAAATAATGTGTGGAGAAAGGACGGTGAAGCCTACTTACCAAAGAACACGTTACCAACTGTAAAGTTTGGTGGTGGCAGTATCATGATCTGGGGCTGTTTTTCTGCAAAAGGTGTTGGCAGAATATCAATAATAGATGGCAAGATGAATGCCGAAAGATACCAGAAAATCCTGCAAGACAATTTAATGCGTTTTGTTGAGAGACTTCGGCTACCTCCTGATTGGGTTTTCCAACTGGATAATGATCCTAAGTATACCGCTAGATCTACAAGGTTAGCTGAAAGTAACGTTGTTGTCTTGCTATGGCCAAGTCAGTCCCCAGACTTGGACCCAATCGAGAATTTATGGCGATATTTGAAAATTCAAATTGGAAAATAGCACCAACAAATATCAAGAATTTGAAGACAATATGCCAAGAAGAATGGGACAAAATACCACTCAATGTGTGCAAATCATTAGTTAAGACGTACAGGAATAGACTGGTAGCTGTTGAACTCAATAAAGGATATTCCACAAAGTATTAAATTAAGTTATTATGATTTTTTTGTTTTGTACGAATATGTTTTTCATCAGTTAAAATGAAAAAAATCCATTAATTTCTGTTAGAATAAGAATTAATTAAGTTTATTATTATTTTTTAATAAAATGTATCTTTACACATAAAATATATCAAAATTTGTTTTAGTTAAGGCTTTTGCATTCATAAAAATACA